TTAATAATTTAAAGCAATTTAATATTAAATATTATATTCAAGTTTTCTTTATGGTATTTTTTATTTTTCTTAAAATGGTTTTCACCTTTTTTGTTTTTTACGTTTTAAGAGCATTCCATCTTCTGCAATTCCCGGTTGGTTTTCTATTCCTGTTGCTGTAGCCAATGTCTGTTGCTTACAAATGACTTTTGCCCAATGGGTGGTTGGGTGGTTGGGTGGCTAGGCGCTTGGCTGGCCGGGCAGCTGGGCAACGGACCGCCTATGCATTTGGCTATGTAATTTTTTAGCGTAAAAACAGAGGCAGCATGCAATTTATGTTGTTTACTCAAGATTATTCATAAGCCGTGGCCAGGTCACAGGCTGTGCATTATTTCTCGCCCTCGCCCCGCTCCGGGCCACCAAGCACGAGTGCTGCTGATTGCGGCCATCCTTGGTGGCGATGGTACGAACAGTTACCCTAACCTTCCATTATGTTTGCTGTTGTCAATGCAATACGAATACGCTGCGCCTGCACTTTTCTAAATAAACTTTCTGCTGAATTCGCTTTAAAATTGTAGCTGGAGCTGGAGCAACGGCAGTAGCAGGAACGGCAACGCCAATGGAGAAGCTCAAATTGCTGACCAGTTGGACTGCTTTCAATTGTTGGCCGGTGGGCTAGAGTGGGCGTGGCAACATGCCTCACTACATGTAATTTTACGCGCAACTTAACTTGTTAACGGATGAAAGGGGAAGCGCGCTGGCTGGGCCAGAGGGGGCCTACGGGGAAGAGCAACAACTGCGGTGGTCTATCCATCGGCACACACACTCTCGTACACACGCACAGTACCTGCCGCACTGTTTGAGCTACATGGCGTATGCTTAATATGCAGCTTTGCTGCTTTGATTTGGAATTAAAGCTGAAATCAGCAGCAAGCAGGGATTGCGCCATTGTCCACTTGAATTCGATGTTGAAATTGTGTTTTGTGCCGAGAGCATGAGTTATTGGGGCAAAGGTTAAGCATACGCCCTTATAAATAAATACTCACACTGCAGCTCATAAGTCACGCAATACTATTGTACTCAATTCAGATTATAATGTATACATATAACTGTGCTTTATTGATAGCGCGCTGCCAGACTTGCAAATGGCTTATAATATGTCCATAGCAGAGTCTATCTTAATGCGACTTAATTGCATTGCATTTATACATATATATTAAGCTAGTTAATTGGCAAATATAATGACAGAAGTAAATACGTTTGAATTTATGCAAATTAATGCTAGATGCTTAACTGATAGTTAAAGCATTGAGATGTAAGGCCCAAAAGAGCTCATGTTCTTAATTTCAATTGTTGATAAATGGTATTGAGGTATTATATAAACTCAAATGTTGTTACAATATTTAATAGGTATTTATTCAATTTTTCGTGCAGAAACTAAGAAGCTTAGGGCGAAGAAATTAAAGAATGAAATACATAATATATATTACAATATTGTAATTAAAATAAAATATTGATTTTGTTACCTTTAWATAAGAATTTTATTTAATGAAAGGGAATTTTGTTTCAATGTGAAATTTATGTTTATAAATAAAAATATATTAAATGCTAAAAAAGTAAAATATAAAATGCTAAATAATTATTTTAATTACAAAATTGTAGTTATATATTAATATAATACTTAATTATAATAATAACTTAAAAACTGAAACATTTAAAT